GAGAGAGAGAGAGAGAGAGAGAGAGAGAGAGAGAGAGAGAGAGAGAGAGAGAGAGAGAGAACACACGCGATTTGGACAATACGTGCGAGGCTTTACTCTCACAGAATACACGTCCTGCCCATGGCATGCGACAATACAAAGTGTCGCGATCACCCTTCTGCCTCTCTGCTCAGGTAATCTTTTCAGCCATCATCTAGGTATTTATACCGTACGTCTCCAGTTCTTCCCCACCTATCCATCCTCTTGCCTGTAGTATACTCGTTCTCCATCACGTCCTTGGTCGCTGATTTCCGTCGTCGCACTTTTCACCACTGGATGTTCATCTCCCAAGTGTCCTCCTACTCTTGTAATTCTCTCTCCCCTTCCTTCCCTTGTGTTTCTGCTTCTGGTCACAACTCCTACCCGATGAACCCTTACCATAACTCGGCGTTAATTCATGTACTCATCTAATTGGATATAATTAAAATCTTATATTTCCCCATTTTTTACAATTTCGTCCAAATCCTTCCTGCTTCCGACGAAAAATCACGTAGTCCTTCGTATTTGGATATAACTAACATCCTAAATTTCAGAAAACTCCCTTTCCCCGTATTTTACGATTTCGCCGGAATCCTCCCTGCTCCGACGAACTTCCCGTAGTCCTTTGTATTTGGATCTAACTAACATCCTAAATTTCAGAGAACTCCCTTTCCCCGTATTTTACAATTTCGCCCGAGTCCTCCCTGCTTCCGACGAACTTCCCGCAGTCTTTTGCATTTGGATATAACTAACATCCTAGCTTTCAGAAAAACTCCCTTTCCCCGTATTTTACAATTTCGCCCGAATCCTCCCTGACGAAATTCCCGTAGTCCTTTGTATCTGGATATAAATCCTATCGCTTTTTTCTACTGTCCCTCCTTCGTATTTCCCAATTTCAGTCGACTCCTTTTTTGCTTCCGACGATAGATCCCGTAGTCCTTTCTATGTGGTTATAATTCCATCCTAATTTGCAATCAATCCCTCCTCCGTATTTTCAGTTTTTTGGCTCCTTGCTTATGAAGATAACCTCAGTAGTCCTGTCTGCTTGGATATAATTTCCGTCGTATTTTTCAATACGTCCCTCCTCCATATTTTATAATTTCGCTCGACTATTGCTTCTAACATTAAATCCTGTAGTCACTCCATCGTTTTATTTTATTTTATTGTAATAATTTATTTAACTCATCCCTTACGATACCTCCCGTAGTCTACCTGTGTGGATATATTTCTCCTCTTGACTTTACCTCTTCCGTATTTTACAATATTTATTGGCGCCTCCTGTTTCTAATAACCATCCCCGTAGTATTACGTTTCTTTCACGGAAAAACACTTTTTCGTTATTTTCTCCATTCGATATCTTCCGTGGATTTATCCATGTGCGTATCTCACTCTGGTCCTGGTGCTGCAATTCTTTACTTCATTATATTTTACATGCCCTAGTTTTTTCAATCGGAAGAGATTTCTTTATTTTGTTTTTATTTTAATTTTAATTTTATTTTGTTTATTTTTGTTTTATTCTATTCTATTTATTTATTTATTCATTCACTTATTTATTTATTTACTTTTTTAATCTTTTAATTTATCTTTTATTACACATTTACGAGTTTTAATTTACAAGCAATTATATGCTAATCCTGGTTCGTTTTTGTTTTTGTTTGTCGTTTTTGTTTGGCTCCGTCGTATTATCAGGTACGTACTTATCTGCTGATTTTTTGTGTACGTGGTTTGGATTTTTTGGAACCTTTATTCAAGTGCAGTTATTTACAGTATTTTACACTGTTTTACATCACCTCTTTCCCATTCGGTTTGTTTCGTATTTGTCCTCGTTCTCCAGGAATTTGATGAATACATCCCGGACGTCTTTATCTTTGCAACTCTTGATATACGCCAGAATGGCCGTTCGGATAACCTGCCATGGGAATTCCAGGAGTTTGAGCTCTGTAATTTGCAACTTTAAAACCGCTGTATGTCCTCTCGTGCATAAGTATTTGCTACGATTCTGTGAAGTGTGCCGATGATCGTGAGCTTTTTGGTGTTGATCGAGCCCACGCTCCTGAAGTGACAGACAGACCTAAGAGAGAGAGAGAGAGCTCAACAACCCCTCCTGGAGTGATGTCTCATTCGTTAAGTTTTTGCGTGCACTTCAGGAGGGGTTTATCTTCCATCTTTGTTACCGTTGTTTCCAGATAATTCCATTTTATGCTGCCAATTTCGGCCGTAGTTTCCAACTTCAGGGATGGGTGATAGCAGCTTCCAAATGATCGAAAGCATGTCCTTGCTTCTTCTTCCCTTCCTTTTTCTGCTATCATGATCATCATTACATCATCTACGAATCGCATGCCATGTATCAATCGTCTGTCCACCCCAATTCCATTTATCCAATTGTGTTCATCATATGCACATACCAGGTTTGCGATTGGTGGACTAGATCCTTTGCCCATTGGTACCCCTTCGATTTGTTGAAGGAGAATTCCTTGAACCTTGAAATAGGCATTGCTTATGTCGTAGTATAGTAGATCAATTAATAGCTCGATTTTAATCGTTCTCCATCCATATGTGCTATTTGCTTTTCCGAAGTTGATGTACTTTCCCCGTACTTTGTAGCATAAATGGGTTTTACTCTTTCCTTTGGCTATGTCGATTACCCATTGCATAGCTCGCATAATATGTGTATGATCCAAGTTCGAAAACATGTCTTTTACATCGTATGTTGCACAGATCAACGTAGCGTTTTGTCCATATATCTCCATTGCAGTTTTGTTGCATTCCTTCAATCTTGGTACAAGTTGATTGGTTCCTTGCAGATTAAATCCCAGTTTATAGTTAAAGCATAAGAAATTTATAGATCTCGACAGAATTTTCGATGCGTATCTTGATGGTTCATTATACGTTGGCACTATCGGTCTTCTTCTTAATGAGTGTAGCGTGCTGTCTATGGCGTAATCTTGCGATATCCACCTTCTCATCACTGACAGACGGATTATTTGCTAATGGACCCTCCGTTGAACAATCAGCACTTGGCCCAGCTATTGGCCGTGGGCTTGCCCGTTAACGCAGCGCAGCCTCAGGAGGTTGGCCGAGAGCATCAACGGGTTGTTCAGCAAAGGCCGGACTCAGCAACTTTCGAGATGACACTCCCGAATACAAAAGAAAAAAGAAAAAAGAAAGAAAACAAATAAGAAAACTAAAAAAAAAGGAAAAAAAAAGGGGTCTCGACAATGGGGCACGAGAGAGAGAGAGAGAGAGAGAGAGGCGGCTGAATTCGCGGAGGGCACTGCAAGAAACACGCAGCCTCTCTCTCTGTCTCTCTCTCTCTCTCTCTCTCTCTCTCGCTCGTTTGTTTCCAGTTTGGCACGAAATTGGAAAACTGCAAAACCAGCACGAATCTTCCCCGGATCTGCGGGAAGATTCATCTTGGTTTTGCAGCTTTCCAATTTCGCGCGGGNCGAAATTGGAAAACTGCAAAACCAGCACGAATCTTCCCCGGATCTGCGGGAAGATTCATCTTGGTTTTGCAGCTTTCCAATTTCGCGCGGGGAAAAGAGAGAGAGAGAGAGAGAGAGAGAGAGAGAGAGAGAGAGAGAGAGGCAGAGGGGGCTGTATTCGTGGAGGGCACTGCAAGAAACGAGCAGCCTCTCTCTCTCTCTCTCGCGTTTCCAGTCCGGCACGAAATTGGAAAACTGCAAAACCAGCATGAATCTTCCCGGGATCTGTGGGAAGATTCATCCTGGTTTTGCAGCTTTCCAATTTCGCTGGTTGGAAGAGAGAGAGAGAGAGAGAGAGAGAGAGAGAGAGAGAGAGAGAGCAGATGCAGGTGTGGCATGAATCATCCCGGGCTCTGTGGGAAGATTCTTGCTGGTTTAGCAGAGTTCCGGCACGGGTGCAAACTTGGAACTCTGCTAAACCAGCACGAATCTTCCCACAGAGCCTGGGATGATTCATTCCACACCTGCATCTGCTCTCTCTCTCTCTCCCTCCCTCCTGCTCAGGAACGAAAAGCACAACCGTTTTTTGTTTTCCTTGGTTTTACTTTTCCTTTTTCTCATTTTTCTTTCATTTCCTTTTTTCATTCTTTGTTTTGAGAATTCAGATGTCGTTTTTCTCCCCCTATATTTCTCCAGTTTTTGCTCCTCTTTCAGCAACACGTCCGGGAAGTGAACGCCCGGTAGCCCCAGCCTTGGCATGGATCGGCATACCGGTCGGCCAAGGCTCGGCATGGGTAGGCATACCAGTAGACCAAGACTCGGACTTGATAGCTGGGCCAAGTACTGGTGGTTTAACGAAGCAGGACAAAGCCTAAAATATAATTTTCACCTTGTTGAAAATCAGATGGTACTACCCAAGTTGCACCCTTCACTCACGTATTATTCACCAATGGACCACCCGCCAACAAAGCACACCACTCCAACACCCCCTGGACTGTTAATTTTTCTTGCCTACAAGTACCGGGCCAAAATCTGCAGTGCCCAGGCTCGGTAGAGGTCCGGTGGGGAAGGGTGCCACAATTATTTTTCCTCACGGCCGCACTGTAGATTTTAGGGCCTCTGCCGGCATGCCACTGTAGAAACAAGAAAAACACAAGTGCATCTGCCTGAGAAAGAGGAAAGATGCATCCATTACTATTTATAGCAACTGATGCATCTTGCCACTTTCTGAGGATGATGCACTGGTGATCTTTTCGTTTGGACAGTGGTGTGGAGAGGCCCTTAGGCTGGCGGAAACACAACTTTTGGTTTGGCTTGCAAAATAGGTCCGGATACCAACCGGCCTAGCTCAGTTGGTACAGCCCCCCTGGACTGTTGACATACAGACTCAAGTTCGAATCCAGTTAGCTTCAGATGAAGAGAATAAGATCATTCTGAATTGCCTAGGGCCTGTCAGTCCAATGATTTTTTTTTTTTTTTTGTTTCGTGTGGGAAGAATGATGATGTCTAAAGGCCATCACCCATTTTTTGTATTATGGCCCTGATTCACAGTGTGATATATAATCTAATTCTAAGTATATATAGGGATAATTTGCAAAATATCCTCATAAGGTGAGATATGCCAAAATGCCCCTGAAAGATGTGGGTAGAGGGGAATGCCCTTTTGGGCCGAAATCTTTGTGTTGTGCCCCTGTCAGGCGGGTGTGCAACTTTGCAATCTGGACCTCCTCGTGTGGCGCTTGGCCTTTTGCAATAGAGCCTAGGAAAAGTTTGCAAGTACTGGGGCATTTTGCAAAGTTGGACGGTACCTGGTAGGGGTATATTGCAAAGATGGGGTCCAACAGATGCCAGGGGTATTTCACAAAATATTGTTTTTGTCAGAAGGGCATTCGGCTCTACCCACATCTTTTAGGGACATTTTGGCATATATCTCAACTTATGGGGGTATTTTGCAAATTATCCCTAATATATACATTCTCTATGGACAATGGAGTGGATTGTTTGAATCTATTCTAATTACGATGTTTTTGGAGTCCGGAAGGAAGGTAATAGGTTCAAATAAGGAAGGGCTTTTTGGATACCTAGGTACTCAGAGACGAAGAAGGGCGTAGTAAGCCATGGGTACCTACCGCATTTTTCGTACCCCCCCCCCTCCCCCTTCGATTGAATTTGGACTGGAGGGGCAGACCGATTCGGCTACCACAGCTAACAGCAGCCCCAACCGGTAGGTACTGGTGGATCCAAAGGTCTGGATGGACTGGTGGTTTTAAGATTCACCAAAAATGGAAAAATGGATATAAGGGGACAGTATAACTCGTGCCATCGAGGTTGAGGTGGAGAGCCACCACCTCAGCCTGAACATTCTGCCCTTGAGGAAAGGAAAACCAGTGACCCTGAGGGGCTCCTGTGCGTTTGTAGCCACACACTTTCGTGTTTGAATTGGTGGATACCTCCTCATGTGACGGTCTGTTTTTTTTTTTTTTTCCCTTCCTCTCCCAGAAAACATGAGGGGCTTTGTGTTGTTCCCCTCATGTGCACTCTCTCCCCGTAATTGACCATCACAGTCATTCTCACAATCTGTCCTCTTTTCTGATGTTTCGGTGTCCCCTTCTTCTCTCTCTATACTTAGAAGCAAGGTGCCCCTCCTCCACCTCGACCTCCACTTTCTCCTCCCAGGGCAGTGACCTTTGCAGCAGCCTCTCCTTTTGCTGC